AAGTGTTACAGACCACAGCTGATGGGAAACTACTTGATTCGGGGGAATAAAAAGGATCCACATGGCTCAAAATACATTGAAAAACTAAAACTAAGGATATTTTATCTATAATTTCAGTTACTTTTAGTTAATTTTGTAAAAAGATTATACAATTTTAGTTAGTTACCGTTTTTTATTTTATAACAGTTTTTATTTATTTTATAACTAAAATGTTTTTTTTTTTTCAGTTTCAGTTTTTGTTATTTAGTTAGTTTTAGTTAACTATATAACCCTGGTTCAGACACCCCCTTTTTAGATGGAGCCCCCTCCTGAAAAACGGGGTTTATTGTAAAACCATTGGCTGGTGCAGCGTAGGTCAGACACATCTACAGTCCTGACAGATTTCATGCTGATCGGTGCAGCTGTTTCTGTGCTACAGACCAAATATCACTGAATTAAATAATAATAATAAAAATAAATTAAAAATAAACAATATGAAAACAATACGACCCCCGCTTCGCGTGCAGGGCAGTCTGAAGAAGGTGTGTGTGTGGATGGGTTTTTTTCTACAATGTGGAGAAAATTTCCCCCGAAAAGCAGCCTTGTAGGGACTAAGTGCATCGTGGGGACCACTGCCAGGTCTCCACGGGTCCAAATGCAAATTACAGGTGTGGGGTTAGGGTTAGGACCAAGGTTTAGGTTAGTTTTAGGGTCAGGTAAGGTACCTGTGTGTTTAATTTTAGGGTAAATGGTCAGGGTTAGGCTGTAGAAATGTAATGGAAGTCAATGGAATGTCCCCATATGTATAGGCGGACACATTTGTGTGTGTGCCTAAAAGCCCGTGAAGTCAAAGGTGACAGAAGTAATGATAAGGAGGGGGAACCCACCCCCTCTCTGGGGAACTGTGAACACTAAGCTCGTGATTGTGTGGAATATGGTATTTACAGCTCCGTGCAGCTTCCTCTGAGGAAACATTATCTCTCTCCTCCTCTCCTCTCCCTCCTTTCATCTCCTCCTCTCTCCAGCTCTGATTGTTCTTTCTAATAAAACTTTATTGATTTTTTTTCTTTCTTCTTCCCCAGTCAAAGTTTTAAACACAAAGTGTGAGTCAGTACTGTTAGGAAAGACCATACAGAATAAAACAAAACAAAACACATTGTTAGTCTTTAAAATTTACACAAAATGACTTCCAAATAAGATTTTTTAGGTTCTAAAGAAGAGAAAACAAGCTAACCTGAATAGACTCGATGCTGGAACTAGTTGGTTCAGTATTGAGGTCGGGGAGCTGAATACGTGCATGCACCATTTTCAGGTTTTTTAGAGTTAAAACAAACATTTTTTAAAGATCTATGCATGACTCCAAACATTAGACAGTTGTAGTGTTGATCTGTGATGGTCCAGATGGAAGAGGTGTAGGTTGGGCCAAATTGTATCGTTAGAAAAACTGTCACCAGTAATTATTCAGCACTTTGTGGTTACTATGATGGCTGCCGGGGCGGAGCAGACAGGTTTGATCTCAGCACTCTTTGA